CCTATCCCTCGTGTGCCTTGGTCGAGTCGTCAGTGTGTGTGTGTGTGTGTGTGTGTGTGTGTGTGTGTATGTGTGCACGTGTACCATGGTCATGCTGCTCAACTGGAATGGAGCCAGTCCTGGAGGAAGCAACAAGACCTTGACGATGGCTGTCATGACAACCGTTGCCCCGGTCGTTCTGATGGTAGTTTTTGGGGGCGAGTTTACGGCGATCTGCAGAGAGATCGGAGCATCCGCCAGAGCCGGGTTCTACGGAGAACACAGGAGGATATGAGGTGAGGACTAAAATACAGGGTTATGCAGTATTACTTCTGGGTTCTATGGAGAACACTGAAGAACATGAAGCAAAGTAATAATACAGAGTAATGCAGTACTTCTTCTTATGGTTCCACAGAGAACACAGGAGAACATGAAGTCAAGTAATAATACAGAGTAATGCAGTACTACCTCAGGTCCTACAGAGAACACAGGAGATCTTTATTAAAGGAATTGAGCTCCTTCTCACCAGCATCATGATAACTCCAAAGTAAGTGGTTCTCAACAAAATCTCCATGTCTCTGGACATCTGAAGAAAAACACAAACAGAAGCAGGAGGTCAGATGGAGAACCTGGATGTTCTCTCTGTGGTTTCAGGAGGTCTGGAGGTTCTACCGGTCTACGGTTCTTCTGGGGTTAATGGTTGTGTTGGGGGGGTCTCTGGTGGTTTTGGCTGTGGTGGTGGTTTTGGGGATCTGTTAATGTTATGTGGTTCCTTAGAGGGACTATGGTGGTTTTGGGGAACCGGAATTATGTGTGGATGATTCGGGAGTCTCTGTGGTGTTGGATGTGGTTTCGTGTTTTAAGGTTGTTTTGGGGGGGTCTGGGGGAAATGTGTGTATTTTTGATGCAATTGTTGGACTGTGGTTGTTTTGGTGTTATGTGGTGGTTTTGGTGTTCTGTGGTGGTTGTGGTGTTCTGTTGTTGTTTTGGTGTTCTGTTGTTGTTTGGTCTGTGGTTGTTTTGGTGTTCTGTGGTTGTTTTGGTGTTCTGTTGTTGTTGTTTGGTGTTCTGTGGTTGTTTTGGTGTTCTGTGGTTGTTTTGGTGTTCTGTGGGTTTTGGTGTTCTGTGGTTTTTTGGTGTTCTGTGGTGTTTTGTGGTTGTTGTGGTGTTCTGTGGTTTTGGTGTTCTGTGGTGTTCTGTGGTGTTCTGTGGTGTTCTGTGGTTTTGGTGTTCTGTGGTTGTGGTGTTCTGTGGTTTTGGTGTTCTGTGGTGTTCTGTGGTGTTCTGTGGATGAGCAATATGCGGTTATACTGTACCTGGGAAACTGGGATTTGACAGGTAGCTAACAACTACATATATCTGGTTGTAT